AACTTAAACATCTTTGACCTGAAAATAGAATCCATACTTCTCAATTGAGATTTCTACTACAAGGCAGCTTTCAATGCACAGCACTGTCTAATGCTCTTACTGTTTTAACTTATAATCTATCATGAGATAAATTCATCTACCTCATGTGAGAGGATAGGAAGTGGTATGGGAAGCTTGATAAGGTATGAAATAACCTCATTATGTCTTGACCAATTCAATGATTTGGGGTGGGAGTGTGGAAGTGAATGCAGCATAATCTAACACATGGGACTATCTAATAGAATAATAAATTGAAGAAAACATTCAACCATAATTGGGAAACATAGTTTCTATTGCCGCCTTCTCTTACTGCTACTTTTCTCTTGCTCTGAATTACTCCCACCATCTATCTCCTCTGCTCCTACTCATACATAGTTGGACAAAGGAGAAGGAGAAAGTCCAACAACCATACTTACTTGGAAACTTCACAAATTTATGTTACACTACCTTAACTGTGCCCTCACTAAAGCAAAGGCAGGCCTTTTGTTCCTCCCTAACTGATTCCCTATATCATTCTCCATGGAAGCTATTCCAAAGCTTCTCTTCCCTCCTCAAGCTCCCAAAGCTACTTCCTCCTCCCTCTCTCTCAGCCAAGGACCTTCTTTTATTTAAAAAAAAAAAAAGTGAAGCCATTCAACACTAGCTCCCTCTTATCATCTTTGTACCTCAAAATCCTTTGACATTATTCCCCATTCTCTTCATTGCCCCTAGACTCTAACAGAGAGATTTTTCCTTGCCAAGATCAGTCCCTTTCAATACGTAGTTGATTCCATCCTCCGCTGTCTTTTTGAGCATATCGAATTCTCAATCGTCCTCTCTCAAATCTTTAAACTCCCTCATCAATCAATTCCTTCTGTAACCTTCCCTGTTAACTGCCTTCTTCTCTACTGTCTTCAAATATGCCCAAGTTTTTCTCCCATCTTTAAAAAAGCTTCACTAGACTCTACCATTCCCTCAAGCTATTTCAGTCAAATTCCTTTAAAAAAGTTTTCTACACTCACCACCTCTACCAGCTCTCTTGTTATGCACTCTGAAATCCTTTGCAATCTGGCTTCCAACTTCAACAGAACAATTGAAACTATTCTCTCTGAAGTTATCAAGAATTTCTTAATTGCCAAATCTGATGGTCTTTTCCGTGTCCTAACTGCTTGCAATGTCTGTGCTGCATTTGACACAGTTGACTACATTCTCCTCCTAGATATTGTCTCTCCTCTGGGTCTGCATGACCCTACTCTCTGCTGATTCATCTCTTACCCTCTTCAATCTCCTCTACTGGCTTATCATTTCTACCATGCCTCCTAACTGTTCATGTTGCCCATGGAACTGATTCTCTTGGTAACTAAATTTTCTCCCATAGGTTTAACTATCATCTCTATATAGGTGGCTACCAGATCTATATATCCTGCACATATCCAATCAATTGCCAAATCTTGCTGTTTCTACTTTCACAACATCTTCTGGGTCCTACCCCTTTTCCCCACTCACATGGCTAATACCTGAATTCAGGCCCTTATCACTTCTCATCTCCATTATTTCAACAGCCTTCAAAATTATTTCAAAAGCCACCTAACAGCCTCTCTGTCCCAAAACTCTCACAACTTCAGTCAATCCTGCATATCACTGCCAAAGTCACTTTCCTTAAGCAGAAATGTGAACACACGACTTCCTTATTCAACTCCAGTGACTTCCTATTGCCTCCTAGATCAAATATAGACTCCTCTGTTTGGCTTTTAAAACCTAAACAAACTCCAAATTATCTTTCCTGAGTCATTGGATATTACCCCTACTCCTGTACACTGTGATCTAGTCACCTGGTATTCTCTCTGTTTCACACTCAGGACACTCCATTGCCTTATTTTATGCCTTAGCATTGGCCATCCCCCATGTCTAGAATGCATTCCTTCTTGACCTCCACCTCATAGAGTCTCTCTTCTTTTGAGATACAGATTAGGCAGTTTCTTCTACATGAAGCCTTTTCTCTTTCTCTCAACTGCTAGTAATCTCTCTCTCCAAATACCTTTTATTTCACTAGTTTGTAGACATCTACCTTTACACTAAAGGAAGAAGGGGAAAAGCACTTATATAACACCAACTATGTGTCGGCACTGTGCTGAGTTCTTATTACAAATATTATCTTATTTAATCTGTCAACAACTATATTAAGTAGGTGTTATAATTATCACCATTATACAGTTGAAGAAACTGAAGCAAACTGTAGTTAAGTGATTTGCCCGAGTGTGTGTGTGTGTATGTATATATATATATATATATATACATATATATACGTATATATATACGTATATATATATACGTATATATATGTATATACATATATATACGTATATATATGTATATATATACGTATATATATGTATATATATATATATATATATATATATATATATATATATACATACACACACACACACACACACACACTTGTTATCTTTACCACTATAATATAAACTTGTGAGTAGGGGTTTTTTCTCTCTTTATACTTGCATCTCCAGTATCTAACACACTATGCTGTACATAGTAGGTGCTTAATAATATTTGTTCATTGAGTTCTGGTGCTTATAACTGAATAATTTGGATCATTAACTGTTGTTTCCTAATCCAAAAAGCTGGACTCTTGATCCACACCCTCTATTAAAAGCATAAAATATTATGAAAAATAATTGTTCCCAGAGACAGCTAAGTGGTGCAATGGCTACAGCATTGGCCCTGTATTCAGGAGAACCTGAGTTCAAATCAGGCCTCAGACACATAACACTTACTAGCCATGAGACCCTGGGCAAGTCACTTAATCCCATTGCTTAACCAAAAAAAAAAAAGAAAATCAAAAAAACAAAACAAAAATAATTGTTCCCATTTATGTCCTCAATTCTAGTGTCTTCCCAATACACTTCTGTACCTTTGTTATAATTGCCTTGCCCTGTGTAGCTGGGACAGCTATATTCTACTAACCAAGGATTTACCTTTTGTTTAAAACTTTTTTTAATGAAATTTAATAGTAATAAATAGTACTAGTGGTGATGGTGGTGGTGGTAATTTTTTTCTAGGGCTATTATACAGCTCAAAACTAATTCTTACTGATAGCTTATTTAATAATCTTTATTGTTAAATTTCTTCCAATCCTCTCCTTTTACAGAGTAGAAAACTGAGTCCCAATATAAATATACATACATGTGTACATGCATATATATACCCATTATGATAATATAATTATACATGTATCTGTATATATGCATGTCTGTATGTAAGTTCTAAGCAATTATAATCCACATGATAGTTAAATAGAGGCAGCAAAACTGATTAGAAACAGAAAGAAATAGGGTTTTGTTTTTTCTCTTACTCTTAACTATAACTCTTGGATCATTTCCTTATTTTAAAGTGTCAACCATGAACACTAGAGACAACCAGTACACAGTATTCATGCTCTACTGCTGTCTACATGATACCAAGAGAACTCAAGAAAGGCTCTCAACATGTCATGTAGCTCTTCTATGACAAACTTATGGGAGAACATGGATAAATGTTGCACAAGATGGGGAGACAGGGAGGAGTTGTAATTTGCATGTATATATGTATATGTGTCACATATATGTATATGCATACATACCCACAATACATGTACTATATATACAAATAGTACATACACACACATATGAATGTCTCAAATATAAGAGTTGGGATTTTGCATTCAAGCCCTCTGACTCCAAATCCAGCCTCTTTTGCACTTTGCCATACTGCCTCCCAGAATAAGTATCTCATTTGTGCTATTGCTTTTATTATAACCTCTTTGATGCCACATATGATAGAAGAGAATTGCACTATAAAGTAACTCATAAACATGTGAATTTGTATACACAACAGGTTGTCATGTTAAATCAAAACATCCCACATAAGCCTAAAAGCACAGTTTGCCTATAAAGTTAGCATTCATCTTATCCCCAAATAATATTGTTATAATGGAGCTCTATTTTATACTGGTTGAGCTTTAACTTTTGAATAGCACTTAGAGTGGTGCTGTTACTAATTTAGTTTTGATCAAAGAATCAAATAAAGGGATCGTGAATACTAGGCATTAGAGAACAGGGCCTTGGGCGAGTTATTTTCTGCATCTTGTTTTCTTCAGCTCTGTAATGGCACATGTGCAGGCTTACCTCACTTTAAATAAATCCAATATAGTTTAAATAAACCTAATGGAAAATTCTTTTTCCCAATAAAAAGATAAATTTGGAAATGATGCTTTAATTTTCAAAATGATCTTTCACTTGACAAACACATCACATAGAATGCATTCAAACACTAACCTTAAATTATAATTTGATTTATAAAAATTAAATACATGCATAACTTCTCAGGAATATGATGATTGTCTAAAGCAGAACCAATCTATGATGCTGATTTATTTGACCTCTTTGATGCTCAGAATACATCAATATGTCAAGGACCTGTGATTTCACTTCCTCCAACAAGCAGTTGGAGTTCACTTCCTTCCATCTCTTACTTATGGTTCTATAGATTTGACTGAGGCCTAGGGATATTAAATGGTGAGTGTTAGAGGTAGGATGCCAAGAACAGTCTATCATAAACTGCTTTTCAAATTAAAATGATTATTCATATAGGAAGTGTTTAAATTTTGGAAATCATTTTGCCAACCTGTGAGACCACAGGCAAGTAACTTAAATTCCCCAGTGTCCCAGGCAATTTCCTTATACTTTTATGTTGCAAATGAGCTGTCTATCTGTATCTATTTAATTATCCTTTGGATTGCTAATGCTTAGAACACCCATGGAGGCCTTTATTTTTACTCAAGCTTGAATGGGAGTCTAAGCATTTGCCATTCAAATGATAGTTAAATAGAGACTGCAAAACTGGATAGAGACAGAAAAAGAGTAGGGTCTTCTTTTTCTCTTGCTCTTAACTATAACTCTTTGGTCATTTACCTATTTTAGGGTGTTAATGAACCTCACTAGAGACAATCAGTGAGCAGTGTCAAAGATCCACTTTTATCTACATGATATCAAGAAAACTCAAGGAGGGCCTTCAGCATGCCAAATTTATGAGGTAATGTGGATGAATGCTGCACAAAATGGGGAAGCATGGGAGGAGTTACAATCTACATTATTGCAAAGAACAACCACATTGATGAAATAGATCTCAGGCCCATTGATTTTCAGAAGTGTATGCATATATATATATATATATATATATATATATATAATATATATATATATATATATATATATATATATATATATATATATATATATATATATATATTTTTAAATATCCACTTAATTAAAAATATCTAAATCAAGGACATGGTTTGTATGATTTTGAGCATCTTAATTATGTAGTGTATACTTATTAGAGAGATATTTATTAAATATATTCAATAATGGAGAACCCATCCCATCTGATAAGAGCTTTCTGAATTACAGGCCTGAATCACAAAGCTCTAATTCAAGCTTCCAGAGGGTAAGATTAGTTCATATGCCACTATTTCAGAGATGCGCACATTTTTAAATCTATGAAAACTCTTAGAGAGAATTTAGTATAATCCCTCATTTAACAGTTGAGAAACTAAGACACAGAGATGTTGTACATCTTGCCCAAAATTACATAACTAGTTAGTAGCAGATAGTAGAAGAAATGCAGTCTCCTGACTCAATTAGTCAGTGAGTCAACAAGCATTTATTAAGTCTCTACCATGTGCCAGACACTATGCAAAGCAAGCAATTGAGTGGTAATTCTCTTATGCCATATGGCATTGCTGCCTGAGTGGTTGTTAATGCGAGGCATCATGGAGCTAGAATTATTCAAACTGGGAGCATTATGGCTCAAAGGAAAAAAAATAGGTAGTCTTAGGATGCTCTTACCTAAACCTGAGCTATTATAATTTCCCTTCTGAAGAATGGAAGGTCTGAATACTATGTCCAAAGAGGCATACCTAAGCTGAGTTGTCTTGTGAGTATGAAATACAGAGGATTTACTATAAGTTTCAGTGATTTTGCAGATTTGAAGGATACTATAGCCTCATCTTGGTAAACTTTAGCTCACAATCAGGCCTGAGGAGTCCATAAATTCAGTTCATCAAACATTTATTGATTGTCTTCTATGTGTAGAGTGCTAGGGATTGAGATAGAAAGTAGGGACTGAATCTGTGATTTCACTGACACAAGGAACTACAGAATAGGGAAACTTCCTCTATCAATGCAGGTCAGTGCCTCCTCTGCATAGTTTTAGAAAATATTTTGCAACACTAAGTGATTAAGTGAAAAATTGTTGAGCCCATGCCTCTATTTTTTCATCTGTCAAAATCAGTAATAAGTGTTACTGACTTATGTTGAATAATACAGCCAGTATATGTCTCAGGTGGGACACAGTTCCAACTCTATGTTGAAGAAACAAAGATGAAAATGGCATAACCCTTACCATCAGGGAGCTTATGACCTAATGTTTGAGATAAAACATTTATTTCAAAGCTTCAATGGATTTATTATTTCACTAACATAGGTACTCTAATTAAACAGATCATAGTTCATCAACACCTCATTCTGTGTGATCACTGTCTATGTTCTTCCATCCTTCAATCAATAAACAAGAATTTATAAAACACTTACCATGTGCCGGGTCCTGGAGATACAAAGACAAAAGTGAAACAATTTCCTGCCCTGGAGTTTACATTCAAGCAAAGGGAGACAATGTACATGTTTAAGTATATAAAAATTGAAACAAAACAATATGGGGGGGGGGTAGTCTCACAGGGAGTGAGGGGAATAGGAAGGGATCTACCTTATAAATTGGATGTTTTACTATAAGGTTTTTGACATCCCATAGATATCAGAGCAGCACTTGCTCTTATTCCTTGCTCCATTTCCAATGATACATTTTCTGAATAATATTTTTATTTTTATTTTTGAATTAGCAAACATTTTCTTCCCTCTTATCCACCCCAGTCCTGAATATTAAAAAATATAATGTATTGAATATTTAATATAAAGAAGAAACAAAACCCTTGAAACAAATATACAGTCAAGCAAAACAAATCTCCACATTGACCATATCCAAAAAATAAGTCCCATTGGCTACTATAAGTCCATCACCTTTTCCAGGAGAGTAGCATGTTTCATCATTACTCCCCTAGAATAATGATTAGTTGTACTGATCAGAGTTCTTAAGTCTTTTAAAGTTGTTTATCTTTACAATCTTGTTATTACATAAATTATTTTCTTGTTTTTCTTCAATTCCCTCTGCATAAGTTAATAAAAGTCTTCCAAAGTTTCTCTGAAACCCTCTCTTTTACCACCTCTGATATGATGATAGTATTCCATAACATTCATATACCATAATTTGTTCAGCCATGCTTCAATTGATGGGTACTCCCTGTAGTTTCTAGTCATATGTTACTACAAAAAGAAGAGCTGCTATAAATGCTTGTACATATGAGTTTCTTTAATCTCTTTGATACAGGATTAATAGTAATATTAATTGGTGAAGGGGTATGTATAGTTTAGTAACTTTGGGGGCATAGTTTCAAATTGCCTTCCAAATAGCTGGATTATGGATATTTTATTTTATTTTACTCTTTGCCTGCAAGTTGTCATTGATAATGTCACAAAGCCTACTTATGCCCACCGTTCATCTCTAGATCTGATTTTTGTCCACAAATAATTTTGAATCTTCAAACTATGATTACCCTTGATTTATAATCAAATAATGTCCCTTGGAGAAATTTCTTTTCTTAACCAGAGCTGTGATTTCCTTAGTAATGAAGAATTCCCTCTACCAATGCAGATCAGTACCTACTCTGCAACTTAAAATCTTTTCTTAAAATTTTATTTATTTTTAATTTAGGAAAGAAAACAAGTATTTCTATAACAGCAACATTTAAAAGATTTAAAAATATAATGAAATACTTTCTTAAAAATGACTGTACATGAAACTATTATATACAACTTGTTATTCCTTCCAAATATATAATAAAGTTTCTTTTTCTCACTTCTTTTCTTCCCTCTCCCTTCTGCCCTACAGATGTCTACCAGTAGACACAAATGTGTGTATGAGAGTGTGTGTGTCTGTGTGTGTTTGTCTAAAATCTCATTCTATACATACTTCTATTTATCAGTTCTTTCTCTAGATACAGATAACATCTTCCTTCATAGGTCCTTTGTAGTTAATATGGGTATCTATAATAGTCAAATGACTTACTTGATCAAAGTTATTCTTAAAACAATAATTTCTCTGAGTCACTGAAAGATTATTGACTTGTGCAGGGTCTTACAACCATGTTGTGTTGAGACAGGACTTAAACTCAGGTCTTCTTGGCCCTAAGGTCATTATGCAACATGACCTCTACCCTGGAAGAATATAGTATTCAAAAAAAAAAGTTTCATGATCCTCACCACCTACAGGAAATCTTTGAACTTATGTTCTCTGTTTTAGGCCTCAGGTGAGATTGATAATCAGAACATCATTAAGCAGTGTAACTGTTAAGGTTGCCTCTTTGAAGAAATCTCATATGAAGCTAATGTGTATGTAAGAGTCCTTGATGGAAAAGAATCTTTAAAATAAAATTTTGTCCTACTAAACAAAAAAAAAAATAGATAGATAGATAGATAGATAGATATAGATATAGATATAGATATAATCATTAAACAATAGGTATTGGGAAGCATGGACAAGTAAGTTTTATGAAGATGAGTTGTTTCAGATATGTTAAATTTGAAAAGGTGATGCAATCATATCCAGTAAGTAACTGGTGATGTGGGATTATACCATGCGGGAATACCTGGGTATTTAAATATGATGGGTAGCTGCATGGAAGTGATAATTAAAGAAAGGAGAGTGAATGGGCTTGTTAGGAGAAGGGGCAATGGGGAAAAAGAGGAAACTGGACAGAGCCTTGAAAAATATTTATACTTAGGAGGTGAAAGGAAAAAGATGAACCAGTGAAAGAGACCTGAAAGGATTAATCAAAGAGAAGAGAATGGTGCCATAGAAGCTAAGGAAGGACGTAGTATGATGAAGGTAAATTAAGGGGCAAAGATGTATGACTCACCTAAAATTATACAACTAGTTAATAGCAGAGATGAGACTAGAAACATAGTCTCCTGATTTAGTTGGTCAGTGAGTCAACAAGTACTTTTTAAGCTCCTACTATGTGCCAGACATTGTGCTAAGTGGGCAACTGAGTGGCCTTTCTCATATCTTAACACAGTGCTATGAAAACAGTTGTTAAGAAGAGATGTCATAGAGCTGGAATTATTGAGCAATGGTACCAGATGTTCAAAAAAAGGGTATGGAGGGTTAGAACTTGAAAGGTCATTGTATTTCACAGTGGGTAATAGACCATTAGTAACCTTCATTTGAGCAAGTTCAGCAGAATGGAGATAACGGAAGCAAAGGATAAAGGAAAACGTGGTTGTGAGGAAGTTGAGGCAGGTAGTATAGATAACTCTGGATATTTATCAGTGAAGGGGAGAACAGATAAGAATGAAAGTTGCAGATAGCAGATTCAAGGAAAGGATATTTGGTCAATGATAAGCATTTTGTCAACTGGGGTAGAACCCACTAGATATGGATCCCTGTTGCTACTTCCTTGTGCTTCTCTTTGTCCCTTTTGTAATTTATCCACCTCTCAGTTTTCACCTTCTATTAACATTTTACCAATAATAATAACTACTCTTGCAAAGTAACCTTTGTCCTCCATGCTAGATTTATTCTGACTGACAGTGAAAACTTTCACTATGAAATAGTGAATGATATGATTTGGGAGTATGGAGTTTAGTTACTAATATTTTTGTCTCATTCTCAAATTCTGTATTTCTTTTGATGTGTTTTAATCAACTTATTGAAAGAAGCAGTACACATTTATAAAGTATCAGTCATACCAGTTTCAAATTGCTTACTCTTATGATAAATATTAAGTGACTCCTTTTCCTTCATTGTTCTCTCCTACCTTCCTACTGCAGGCCAGGCTAATAGACTACAAGCTTTATCACTATGGAAAGACAGATAAAATGCAAGAGAAAAGGATCTAGAACAGAACATTGAGGTTTGCC